TTAGGGTTAGGTTTAGGGTACTGAGTGCTTGGGAATGCGCGGATTTGCCCTCCACGATTATGTCATCGCGGTAGGGTCGGGTTTTTCCTTAGTGCTTCGAACGGCGCGAATTAGTCTTCGTGCTTATGTCTCCGCGGATAAGGGCTTCGCGGATTTGTGGTGGAACCGTCTTGAGACACTCTTTATAATGTGGGATAAATGGAACACCTAAATCACATTCCAGCAACCAGAAAGACAAGAATTAACAAACAATTCATTGATGGAGATGAGAGTGAGTTACACTTATTATTTTTTTAAAAAAATAATAATTTATATGCCTGCCCATTTCTGTTGCGGATGCTTGAGGACTGTTAATGGGGCGAAGGGAAGATCAGATTCATCTGTGATGGGGATAAAAATCTTGAACAGGAGAGATCTTGTTAAAATTTTCCTCTTGAGTTGCTCCTATCTATTGAGCATCAGAAAAATCCCACAGGTTCTGCAGCAGATGTTGGGGGGAAAAAAACCCCCCACAGTGGAGAAAACCTAGATATGTTTTACCGCAAGGAAGCCGTCCGGAGGCCCTGATGCACAAGTTGCAAGCAGTCATTGAATTTAATACTTCGTTTATTTATTCCTGCTTTCACAGCATTATGTATTTATGTATACTTAAATCAGCTCTGAGCTGTGGAATTTATTAATTTCCCAGTTTGTCAAACTAAATATGTAAAGAGTGAAGGGAATTGATGAATTAGGTTACAATGAGAAGACATCCAGAGGAAGATATTAGAAGACTCGTCCCTATTTGGATTCATTTCCTATTTGGAAATGAAAACTTAAGTAGAATCCCTCTTCACGGTTAAAGAAAGCAGGGAGACCAGTGGTGGGTTTCTACCGGTTCGGACTGGTTTGGCTGAACCAGTGATTGGTTTGGCGGCCTGGGCAGCACACACACCAGTGAACCGGCAGTAGTGCTTGCCGGAACCCACCCCTGAGGGAGACCCCCGATGTCTTGAGTTGATTCTGTATAGTATTTGAAATACAGACAATCTTCGACTTACGGCTGGTTGCTTAGCAACCATTCAAAGTCACAAGGGACACCTTGAAAAACTCCTTAAGACATGACTTCGAAGTTACAATGGCGTCAGCTCCTGCATGGTCCTGATCACATGATCTTATTTTGGCTTCTTGGCAATTAGTTCACCTTGGTGGCGCAGTGGTTAGAGTGCAGTACTGCAGGCTACTTCTGCTGCCTGCTGGCTGCCTCCAATTTGGCAGTTCAAATCAAACCAGGCTCAAGGTTGACTCAGCCTTCTGTCTTTCTGAGGTGGGTAAAATGAGGACCCCAATTGTTGGGAACAATATGCTGACTCGGCAAACCATTAGAGGGAGCTGTAAAGCACTATAAAGCGGTATATAAGTCTAAGTGCTATTGTTTTAATGGTCATTTGCAGCATTCTGTAGTCAATTTTTGACTTCTTTTTTCTTGCCAGTTTCCAGGATCTACTTTTGATTTCCAGCAAAAAAAAAAACATGTAATGGGTATAATGGAGTTATTTAATAATTGTGGTGTTTTCTTAATGACCGCCACAAGAAATGTACAATCGATTTTGGTCACATGGTGGTCCGCTTAATGACTGCCATCCCTGTGATTTTATTTCCAGGCTCAAATTACAGTCATGAGCTAAGGACTGTCTCTACTTAGAAATCCCACATACTGTATCTCAGCAGAAGAACAGCTGGAGCCTGTTTCCCGATGTGTTCCCGAGAGCTGCCACAAGAAGGGAACAGCTAAGGAACAAGGGCCGACTCGGGAGTATAGGAACAGGTGGACAGTGAATGGCCCCTCCCATAGGGAATAAGGAGGAGCGAAAGGGGAGTTTGCAGGAGACAATTAGTTCAATTCATTAGGATGAAGATCTGTTCCTGACTTCTTGCCAAGTAATTGCTGCTACAGCATGGCATTTTGAAGATATTGACCTGGCAGCTCTCCAAATCTCATGAAAGACTATTTGCCGGGACTTTGCCGAGGTGGTGCAGTGGTTAGGGTGCAGTACTGCAGGCCACTTCAGCTGACTGTTATCTGCAGTTCAGCG